TCTAGTGTAGCTGGAAAGGCAGCTCTGTGTGCGTGAGAAGACAGATGGGAAACTAGGATGTCCTGCCCTCCGCGGTGTCTGCCCAGCCCCACCAGTGTCCAGAGGCATGGTGATTCCTAGGGCTGGGCCCTCTGTCTCCACCAAATTCTTCTGGGTGTTTCAGTCATGGGTGCGACCACCGGCTCCCAGTTGCTGCTATTCAGTGTAAGAAATGAGCAGGGCGAGAGGAAAGAAAGGGAGGAGAAGATAGTAACAAAAGGAAGTGATAAAGGAAAAATAGTGTTGGATCAGAAGGAAGGAGACAGGAGCCGTCTGCCGGCAGAGTCACCGCGCTTGCCCTCGGCAGGTGGGGGTGCACGCGCCATCCGGGGAGCGGGGCCCCAGGAGCCTGGGCACCCACGCCGGCCCGTCTGCAGCCTTGAAGCCTGCGTGCTTCCGTGCTAGTGTCCCGGGCTTTGCCCTCTTTTCCGAACCCTAGCGCAGAATGGCGGGAATGGCTCTTAGTCCATTCCAGGCTGGCTCCCAAAGGTTCCCAGTTCCCAAGACGGCAGCGAGGCTGGTGTGGGTGCTGAGCACTCGGTGTCTTCTCGGCGAGCTCTGTGGGCACGCGGATGCGGAGGGCACAGACCTGGATTCTGACTCGGGCGTGAGGAGAACCAGGAAGGATTGTGTGTCCGAGAGCCCAGGCACTCGGGGTGTCAGCACGCGTAGGCTTTGACAGGCTTTGGCTGCTCTTACTCGCCCTCAGCTATTTCTGGGGCAGTGCAGCGCGTGTTGGGAAGGGATGGACAAGCTGTTTCACTTGTGTGAGTTGTCTGTTTGTCCAGGTGGTCCTGGCCCTAGCGTTGGCTCACACGCCGCCTGTGCCCAGCTGTCCCTGCTCTGGGTTCCGGTCCATACCCGCTCCCTCCAGCTCCGTGGACCCTTTTCAGTTCTAGCTCAGATCCTTAAATGTCTTAGCTTGAGCAGTCTGGACCCAGCTGCGTCTCTGGGACAGTGGGGGCCAGTGAACAGTGTGCTCCCAACACCCAGGCAGGCGAGACGGGACGACCTTGGACTGCGGTCGGGAAGTCTGCATCGCCATCCCCTGCGTGTGCGTCCCGGCCTCCGTGTCGCATCAGCGTCCGAGCTCCTCAGGTGAGGAGGCTCATTAGACACCCTGTACGATCCCTTCTGTCTCCGGACTCCGGTTTTAAGCAGGACCTTGTAACTCCTGCTTGGAGAGGACATCTGTGATGTGAAGGCGCTTTCTTGGGGTGCAGTTTCTGACAGGACACACATTCAGACTGGGGTGTGTAGGGGCCGTCCTTCCTGGGTGGGGCCCAGCCTCGGAGCTTCTCTCTTTAGTCTGCACACACTCCCAGGGCACCTCATTCAGCCCTTCCCTGTAAGCTAGACTCTGCTCTGACCCCACCTGTAGATCCATTCACCAAAATCTCCCATTCAGCAAGTCCATAACCAACGTCGCAACCTTCCTCCAAATGCCCTCCTCCTCCTCCGGAAGTCCCTCCTGCAGTGAGAGGCGTCAGCATGCACGTGGTCATCCAGACAGGAGCCCTTGGGGAGGGTGCTGTGCACACCTTCTTGCACTGCCTCTATTCTCCTCCCCCCCCCCATGTGCAAACAGAAGCCAAAACCACAGCATATCCTCTGTCTCTCAAATCTGTCAGTCCCACCGCCTCTACCTTGGTTTGAGCCTCGTGATCTCTGCATGGGTCACTCCCACACTCCCGCCCCCCATTCTCCAGCCAGTGCCAGGCTGCAGTGCACATCTGACCACGTCATTCCCAGTCTCCGCGGAATGGAATCCGAGTGTCCTGGTATGGCCACAAAGCCCCAGTCTTCTTGCTGCTGCCGCCCTCCAGCCCTGCTCCCTCAGCACCCCTCACCCCGGCCAGATCAATGTCTGCGTTTCCGGGCGCTCCACACCTCTGGTCTCCTCTGCCTGGAATGCCTGACACTCCCTCCAGTTCCCTGACTCCCCTCATCCCCTAACCTTACTCACCTGAATAACTCTTCATCCCCCAAGACTCAACTCAGAGAGCCTTACTTTGGAGTCCATGCATAGCCAACTGTGCTTGCCTCCAGACACCGCTTACCTACTGTACTGGCATCATCTGTCCTTTCACCCCCAACTGTACCAGCAGACCCTTAAGGTCAGTTTCTGAGCCTCTTTTCATAAATCTCCGCACCCGGCACATACGTAAACATGTTTGTGAATGCTTGAGTGAATGTTCAATTGAATGACTCACTGTCATCTGGGGCAGGTACTTCTGGGTCTACATGTGTGATCTCTCAGGGTGTGGGATAAATATATCATGGCATGGATTAATAATTAGGCTTTATTGGAAAAATTTACAAAGGCCAAAGGCCAACAAGAGAAGTTGCTGATCCTCCAATCCTCCGATCTCACAAAGACAACTGCCAGGTCCAGGAAGCCACTGGGCTTGCAGTGACTCTGTATCCCAGTGGAGGGACTCCTCCTCACCTGTGGTCCTCTCTTTCTGTAGGGCAAGTAAACAAGGGACAGCAGCCTGTCACTAAGGGAATAAACAGACTGCCTGGTGCCAGGAAGTCTGGATTGGAGGTGCCAGCTTTTTACAGGAGTTGTCTAGGAATGCCAACTTCCCAGCACATAGGGCCCTCAGAGCTTTAAGGACATTGCTACTGTCTTTGCCAAGGGGAGGAGGGGCTCTGAGCTTGGGTGCTACCTCTCCCAGAAAGCTCACTGTCTAGACAGACCAGGGGGAGCTTCAGGGTCGCTTTCTGAGAGTACAGCTGGCTGTACCACAGGGATCATAAATGACTGAGTGGGTGGGTGGAGGGATAAATAGATGAATGGGTATGTGGGAAGATTGATGGATGGACGGATAGATGGGTGGGTGGGAAGGTAGATGAATGGATGGATGGATGAGTAGATGAATAGATGGATGGGTAGATGGGTGGATTGATGGATGGATGGATGGATAGGCAGGTGAATGAAAGTGTGAAAGCAACTAGCACATATGTGAATAAGTGAAAGCACAGGACACCTAGTGGCCACCAACTTGGTTTGTTTCCCTTTCCTTTTCTTTCTTTTCAACCCGGCTCTAACTTTCTGGGAATACAGAAGGAGGTAACCCTGTCATCTGGTGCCGGCTCTAACTTTCTGGGAATACAGAAGGAGGTAACCCTGTCATCTGGTGCCAGACAGGAAAGCTCTGGACCATCATGGGGCGGGGTGAGGAGACAAGGCCTAGTGGCTATTTGATAGCTCCTCTCCTCGCCTACTCCCACGCATCCTCAGATTCCCTTGTGCCCTTTTGTCATGTTTTCACTTCAGCGCTGCCCTGGTTACATTTTAATCCAGTATCACCTGACTTTAAATGATTGGAAAAATCATTTAAACAAATCACACACAGTGATTTGTTCTTGGGCCATGACCCCAAGGCAGACCCCATGTCCCCAGACCAACTATGTGGTATTCAAATGGGCCGGAAGGAAGGACAGGTCCACCTCTGAGGTGCTGATTAAATCTGACCTGCCTCCCCCACCTGCCTCTGCCTGAGCTGGGCGTTCATCAGCACATAGGCTGCTGGTTCTTGAATTCCAGGTGCCTCAGAAACACCTGGGACACTTCTACACTGTACGTTTCCAGGCTCCATAGCAAGGGATCTGCTTCGGTAGTCCGGGCAGGGCCCAGAATTCTGCGGGTCTTAACTGCATCCTCACGCCGCTTCGCAGTGAGGCAGCCTTGCGGAAAGTGCGGGCACAGGGAACAGGGACAGGAGCTCACGGTGCTGGCGTGGCCGCCTCTCCCCACAGGGCTTCCCGCCAGGCCCCCAGTGCTGCAGCCTTGGGCCACCGCCCAGCAGTGAGGCGCAGGACCTGGGCCTTTGCGGGCAGTGCCCTCTCCGGGACACGGTGGGCCTGGAGCCCCTCACCACTGCTCCACACGCACACTCCAGAGCCCCAGCCTGGCAGAGGAGGGGAAATGGGCCTGGGGGCTCTGAGCCAAGTGTCCGCTGGGCACTGTGGGTCGGCCTGCCCTGCCATGGAGCACCTGCGCCTGCATGCAGTGTGGACAGGCGTGGCTCCTGTGAAAGATGGCTGAGGTGCCTGCAGAGGCGAGCGGCGGAGCATGAAGACATCCAGGCAGCCTGCGCCTGGCTGGGCCACTACGCTGCACTTGGGACGGGCGTGTGGGAGGAAGCAGTTACTGGCGAGTGTAGGGAATGAATCAGCATGGAGCCGGCTCGCTCTAATTGAGCCAGCATGTTTGTCCTTCTTCACAAAGCGCGTCTTCATGGCGGCAGGGAGGAAAAAGATGACCTTCTGCCCCTTAAGGGAAGAGACGGGCCTTTCCACTCAACACCCACCCCGTGCCCACCTCCACCCTAAAACTGCTGGGTCTGCTCTGTGGACCTGGCCTATGTCTTTGGACAGAGAGTTTTATTTTCTCAAGAAAGAGGTTTCACTTTTCTGGATCTGTGTATGTGAGCAGCCCGCCTCCATTTGGACCACTCTGAGAAGATGCTCAGCATCACGGCTTCTTCACAGCTATGTCTGTGCTCTGTCCTTCGGGGGAATTGGGCCAGTACCCTCCCAAGCCCGAGGCCACAGCCTTCGGGTTTGTTCCCGCAGAATTGTGTCATGGTCTCCCTGTGCTTCTGCCTCAACCCCTTTCTCAGCAGCCTTCTCTTAGGAGTTCTATGCTGGGATGGTACAAAAAAACGTTAGCTGGTCAACTGAATAAAATGTGTGAATTGTCCACCACCCTAACATTGAATTTTAATAAGGGACCTTTGAAGATAAAAGGAATCCTGTGATCCCCAGTGGTCGGTGCTGTGATGGTGGAACAGGTCTTGGAGTTGCTAATTTGGCTTCGGTTCCCAGCCCCCCGGTCCCGCCACAGAGGGGCAGCATTCTCTGCCATCTGCCTGCGAGATCTGCTGGTTCAGACCTTTCCAAATCCCAACCTAATTATTTCTTTTTCTCTCTTTTCTATTTTTGTTTCCTAGGAACGAGTGGAATATCTCTTTCTCATAATTTTTACTGTGGAAGCATTTTTAAAAGTAATAGCCTACGGACTTCTCTTTCACCCCAATGCTTACCTCCGCAATGGCTGGAATTTACTAGATTTTATAATTGTGGTTGTAGGGTAAGTATAACTGTCTTTCTGTTTCCCCTCACTTTGCCAATGCATAGTTCTTCCTTCTGAATTTATATCTTTTTGATTTGGTCCTAACTGTGCTGGGCTTTGGGCAAGATGAAAGGATTTGTTAAAACTTACCTTGAAGTCAGACTTTCCCCAGAGGGAGAGGAGCTGTTACCTAAGATCAGCCCCACCACTGCTTCCACGTGGGCAAGCACGTGCACCTGCACACACAGACACATGCACACACATGCACGCGCATGCACACGCACACACACACAGACACACACATATACACATGCACATATAGACACACAGGCACACACAGGCATGCACTCATACACACAGAGAGGCATACACATGCATGCACACATATACATGTATACCGATGCACACATGCATGCACACATATACATGCACATACAGGTGCACACATGTACACATACATATGCACATATGCACACACATGCAGATGCACACACACATGCACACACACAGTTGAATCTGAGTGCTCTTAATGGAACCCAGGTTCCTCTGTGCCACTGAGGAGATTCCTCTCCTTAAGGACTTTAATTTTGTCTCTCACCACAACTAGCCCTGCAGTCCCTCTGACCAACTTCCCTGTGGGATCACTGAGCAGATTTGGGGCAGTTTGCCTGAGAGCATGCAGTCTGCAAGCGGGGTAAGGGTGGGGTGTACACAGAGCTGCCAGGCTGTGTGTGGGGCCCACAGGATGCTCGTGCATCAGCCCTGTCTCCATCCTCACCGCTACAGTGGGCCTGGTTCTGTGGCCCCAAGAAACAAGGCTGCTCAAGACAGGTGGTGAGAAGAAAACAGGGAGCTATGAAAGGCCAAGGTGACAGGTAACCAAACCCTGACCAAACGCACCTTTCCCCAAGCACCCTGCTCCACTTGAGTATAAGATGAGGCAGAGTCAGTCTAGGTTTTTGAAAAAGCAATGTGAAACATTTTAAATAAAATGTAGAAGTGACGATGTCCTTATAAAGAAATCAGTAACTTCACCAGAAGATTCTCCGTTACATATCTGTAGCTGACAGGCCTGCATGTACCGGGTGCAGTCTCATGTGTTAAAACGCAGCTGGTGATGTTCCACCCACTCATCTGCTTTGCAGCAGAATCTACTTAAAGAACACGTGGTTCCTTTGGACCGATCCTTCATGACTTTGAGCCCCGCGAGTGGCGGCCACCTGTGCTCTCGTTTCCTGAGAGTCCTGACCGTCATTCCGTGTCAAGGTCAGAATGTCAGGAGGTGAGTCTTTTGTGCCTCCTGGCGGCATGTGGGCCTCTGGACTTCTCTAGAGCCCTGGCCGTTTGGCCTCGTGGGAGCGCCCAGCCTTCCCTGCAGGAATTAACACAGGAGCGCATGGAGATCATTTACAGGTTATTTCCTCATCTCTGGCCATCTGGACAGCTCATGTGGGCTGTTTGGAACTGTGTTAGGGTTTTCTCTTTGTTGCCTTATTTTGCCTGGCCAGTGAATGATGCACTTTAGCCACGTGAACATCAGGGATATTTGAGTGACCTGGCCTTAGGAGCGCTCAGGTCATGAGCATTACTAGCCTGTTAGCCAGGTATTGGTCTGACTTGCAGCACTCAGGGAGTGCTTGCGGCTATCTGGAGAGTTTGCGGCTTCTGTCCATGCCAGATAAACAAGCAGCTAAACAAACGCCATGAATGAACTTGGTAAACCCCAGCAAAGGTCCTTTAGGTTTGCTGCTCCTCACACCCCTAAGTCCTTTTTAAACTCAGCGTCTTTCTCAAGTCAAGGCCTTGGTCTCCTGGGAGCCTTTCACCTGAACATAGGAAAGAGCTTCAGGAATGAGACCTGATGTTTCTGGGAATGGAGAGATGAGGGTGACTTCAGGGATGAATTTTGGAATGAGTTGGAGTTGACTCCATTGCGCTCTGCCCATTTGTGGCCTTAACTAAAGCACAGGAGGTGGGGACAAGGAATACAGGTTAGACATCAAGCAGGACCCCAGGGCGGGGGCTGGAAGGGCTCTGGGAGGGCCAGTGCCTCAGTTGCGGCAGGAGGCCATGCGTGGCCTGCCCACACTTGCTCGATTCGTCCCTTACGCTACTCCTCCCAGGACCACGGAGGCAGACGTTTTGTGAGGGCAGCTTAGGTGCCGGTCACACCTCCCTGGGGTCTGGGGTAGGGGTCTGGCAAAGGGGAGCACATCCAGATTTGGCACTCCTCTAAAAGATGTCTCTGTTTGGTTATTTTTTTAAGAGGCAGAGTCTTGCTCTGTTGCCCAAGCTGGAGTGTGGTGGTATCATCATAGCTCACCATAGCCTTGAACTTCTGAGCTCAGTGATCCTCCTGGCTCAGCCTTCCGAGTTACTGGGTCTACAGGTACACACTACCATGCCCAGCTAATTATTTAAAAAATTGTTTGTAGAGACAGTGTCTCACTAAGTTGCCCAGGACGGCCTTAAACCTTAGCCTCAAGACGATTCTTACAATGGGATTATAGGCATGAGCCACTGCACCTGGTCATGTTTGGCTTTCTAAGCCACAGAGGTAATGATGCTAGCACTTGCTCAGCTTCTGGTTCACCATGACCCTTTGGGTTTTTTCCCCCATTGATCTCACACTTGGCTATATTTGTCACCTTGTTTCCCTTCTCCAGAGATATCAGTCCTAGGGGCTCACCATCCAGTCTAAATCTCAGCTCATCCTTCTAACCAGAAAAATGACCTGCCATCCTCAGAGGGTATAGCTCACCACCTCTGTTCAGCCATGTCTCTCTTTCCTGTCCTCTTTGCAATATTAAGTGGATACGCCTTTGTTTCCCTCTCATCTCTTGGGAAAGGTCTGCTCTCCTTGGCCCCTCCTCTAGCTACTTGGTAGCTCCTCTGTAGCTACTTAGGGGGAGGCTTCTTCTGGCCTCCTACAAATCAGAGGGGAGCCTGACTTGCCCTGAACAAAGGTGAGCTTGCCTGCTGGCTGCCCACGTGCCAGGCGGGGCCCTCTCACTGCCTTTCTGGTGGCACATGACAGGCAGCATATCCTCTTAAGGCAGAGGTGTCTCCGTGGTGTGATGGGAGGTGGGACTGCTGAGTGATGTGAAGGGACTGCTCTGAGCCCCCTCTCCCACCCCACCCTGGAACCGTGGAATCCTCAGTGGCTGCTGCCCGGGAGATCCCACTGCAGCCACCGCACTGTGTCACGTCCCTGCCTCTCTCACAGTGCTGTGGCCCTGCCTTGCCCATTCTCCGGGCCCTCTAGCACCATGCTGTCCTCCTCTTTCAAAGACTCTACTGCCCGCTGCAGATGTGCCGGCCTGGCGTGCTGGAGCAGTGCCCGGCCCAGCCCGGCCCGGCCCCGAGAGAACAGGGAGCTGTACTCTCCAGCCACTGCAAGCTGAGAACACCTCCTACACCCGGTTCTGAATTTTCTACTCCTCCAAAATTAAAAACAGATACTTAGTAAAGAGACTCAAGTTGGGGCAGGGGTTAAAAGAACAGAAAGTTATCCAATCTCCACTATTCTCACTGAATAATATTTTGTGAACATCTTGTACTCCAATAAGCATATTGTTTTTTTCCAGGAAATACTAGGAATGAAATCTGGTTTGGATTTGGAACGTTGTTTTACAAATTTGCAAACTGGTCTTTATTTCCTCAGGTTTCTAGACTTGAGTGGAAAGAACATTTCCCCTGTAGAGAGAGGAGCCCACTCCCCTCTCTCCTGGCAGCTTCTGCCTAGGCTTCGAGCATCCTAGCCAATGTGTGAAACTCCCAGCTGCCAAGCCCAGGAGAAAGAAAGGAAGAGCTGAGAGAGACTATAAATGTGGCGCGGCCAGGGTTGTCAGACTTCTTTTAACTACAGAACCCACGTTCAGAGTCTTACTTGATGGTCCAGTACACAGAAGAGATAAAAGGGAGGCTGCTCTGTTAGATTTGGGGCCAAGGAACAGAGCCCCGCCACTTGGCCCCAGCCCAGCCCCTCCATAAGTCCCCAGGGCTCCTGTGAGCACAGTTTGAAAATCCTTCACCGAGCCCCACCCCCATGGCTCAGCCCTGCCTGGATCTGAGCTTCTGCCAGGCTAAGCCCCCAGCGGCACCCCCCTTCTTAGGTCCACTTCCCCGGGGCGTGTGTCATTTACGGGCCTCAAGCCTATTGCTTAAGAATCAAAGTCACCCTGGCTCACTTCAGGTCTGATATGGGGACCCAGTTGTGATGCCTGGGCTTCCTCCTGGACCCAGGCCCACTGATGGAGGGACTGACCCAGTGCAGACTGCGCTCTGCTGACAGGGACTCTGTAGAGTCATCGCAGGTATGAAGGACAGAAATTGCCACTAGGTGCCCTGCCTCTATTTTTCTTGGCTGTCACAAAAGGCCCAGGATGCCTGCGTCCACTCTAATACCCCGGGCTCCTGTTCTCACGTGGCTCTGTGCACCCTCTGATCTAGCCCTCCTCCCACCACCCTGCTTCCGAGATCTGTCCACGGTGGCCACTGTTCTCAGTGACTGTTCAGGGGTAAAGGGCCAGGTGCTGATTTCCAGCTTTGCAAGCCATGCATGTTCCACCTGCTCAGCTGTGTCCTGCACTGGCAAAGGGCAGTGTATGAACGAGGGGCGCAGCCGAACCCCAGTGGGGCTTTATTTACACAGCAGGTAGCTGGTCCCTCCCGTCTCGGGCTCTCTGCTGAGGGTGCAGTTGCCTCTCTCATGGCCTGGCAGTTCCAGGGCGCCTTGCCCACTCCTCGGTTCTGCATTCAGACCACTGCCCCTTCCCCGGGTCCCCAGCTTTGCCGAGCGTGTCATCAGACACTGCACCTGCGTCTTGCTCTCACACCCTCTGCACACCAGCGAGTCGCCGCTCCTCCCGTCTGGAGGGCACCTGCTCCTGGCGGCCGCCTGCTCACGCACGCGCTCCTCCTCCACCCTCTCTGATGGCTCCTCAGTCCCTGCTCAGCTGCTGCTCCAGGGAGCCCGACCCGCAGCCCACCCGCGGCCAGTGTCCCCTGCAGCCAGCACCCGCAGCCACTCCGGCACAGCGCCTGCCCTCGCGGACGCGCGCGGCTCTCCCTGCGCTCGCGCCGCCCCGTCTGCCACGTTCTCGCCGGGCCCCGCCAGCTCACGGCTCTTCGCTTCCTCTCTCCTCACTCTCTCTGGGTGTCTCCACGCCTGCAAACGCCCCCCGCCCGTCCAACCCAGGTCTGCGGCTGAGAACCGCGGCCGAGCAGCCCCTTCCCCGCCAGCCCCGGAGGCCCCTGTGGCTCCCTTGGCTCCTCACACCTGCCTCGCCCCTCCAGCCGCCGCTCCCTCTGCTTCCACCGCTCGGCCTTGCAGCGCGGCCCTGAGAAAGCAGTGCCACCAGCGGGGGCTTTCCTGTGTCCCACCGCGCCTTCCTCCCTACCAGGGCAGGCGGCTCGGCCCTGAGGCCGACACCCTCAGCCTGCGCCCGTCCCTCCTCCTGTCCCCGCCAGCAGCTGCGTGTCCAACGTCTGTCCCCTCAGGAGCCTCTCATCGCAGGGAGACGTGCTGTTGCATCGCCCACTTACAGACAAACTCTCTGGACCCCACACCCACTTCCGGTAGCCCTCTTTTTTCTCTGTTCACTTACAGCAAAATTCCTGGAAAGAGCGGTGTGTGCGCAGCCACATGTGGCCGTCCAGTGCTTGAGATGTGGCTGGTCTGAATTGAGATGTGCTGTGTGTGTAAAATATACCACATTCTTCAAGGGTTGAGCCCCAAACAAAGAACGACACATATCTCATGAATAACATTTTATATTTATTACATGTTGAGATAACAATACTTTGGCTCTGTTGGGTTAAATAACATTGTCACCGTTAATTTTACCTATTTGTTTTTATTTTTAAATGTGGCTGGCAGCACAGCCAAGTCGCGTGCGGCTCATGCCTGCCTTGCTTTGCGTTTGTGCTGGGCGGGCTGCCCGGTCCCACTGACTCCAGGTCCTCCCAAGCCTGTGCCCCATCGCTCCCCCAACACAGATGCTTCCAGGGTCCCCGTGGTCTTCATGTCGCCAGGTCCAGCAGTCATCGTCCAGCTGTGTCTCTGCAGCGTCTGGTGCCACTGTCCCTCACTGCCACTCTCCCTGCAGGGCACTGTTCTCTCCCCTCCTCCTGCCCCCGGGCCACTCCCTGTCAGCTTCCGTGGCTGGTGTCCCTCACCGTGGGAGCACCCAGAGCCAGTCCCTGCACATCCTCACCCTCCGCGGGAGCCTCCCAGGCGATCTCCTCCCACCCGACTTTCAAGACAGCCTGCCCACCCACCCACGCGTGTCCCCAGCCTGGGCTCCCCACCTCCAGGCACAGGAGAGCCAGCACAGGCACCCGTTGGCATCCACTCCGCCTGTCTCAGCCTTTTAGTTGCTCAAGCCAAAACGGTGGGCATCCTCTCTGATTCCTCTCTTTCTCTCGCCTCACATTGCTCCTTCAGCCGGTCCCATCAGCTCCAGCTTGAGATAAATCCAGTGTCCGGCTTTTCCTTGCTGCCACCACCACCACCTGGGCTAACCCCCGCAGCCCCTGCCTGGGTCACTCAGCAGCCTTCTCTGGCCGCCCTCAACATCACAGTGATTCTTTTAAAACTAGTTGGAGCTCTCCTGCTTGGAATGCCCTGGTGCTTCTGTCTTAAAGGGAAAAAAAAGGCGCCTAGGGCCCCCGCCTTCCTCTGCAACCTCCTCTCCCACAGCCCCTCCCAGCCCGCTGCAGCCGGCTGTGGCCCTGACGCACAGCGTGCTCCTCCCTGGGCCCACAGGAGGGCCGCTGCCCGCTCTGCCTAGCACTGTCCCCAGGTAGCTTCATGGGTCCCTCGCTTGCTTCCCGAAGGTCTCTGCCCATGTCCCAGCCTCCCGTAACAGGACGGCCCCGCCTGTCTCCGCAGAGCCCTCCCCGCACATCTTTCTCGGCACTCACTCACGCCGCGCGGCATCTCTTCGCTGACTGCTCAGTTACTCTCTGTCTTCCCCCAAGAATAGGAACTCCATGAGGGTAAGGGCTTTGTTTTGCTATGGCCCATGTCTGATCGGTGCCTGGCTCGTAGTAGGTGTTCACGTTTGGAGGAAGGAATATACCTGCACAGACACGAGGTGGCAGGGCTGAAATTCACATCCACATCTCAGGCACGTCCTTCATGTGCGCTCTGCTCCACCCGAGCCCTTGCCTTGGAGCACCCGCGTTCGTCATGCATTCCGCAGATGCCCCCCAAGCTGTGTTGCGCCCACGTGGAGTAGGCTTCTCTGGGCTCATTGTTTGTGCCCAGGAGCAGTAGGAGACAGGGTGTTGTCAGGAGGAAGGGGCAGGCAGGGAGGGAGAGGATGTGGCTGCTGGTGCCCATGGACGGGAGCTGGGATGCCACGGAGGGCGCAGAGGGCACTGCAAGGTGACGGGCACGGATGGCAAACACCTGCTTCCCACTTTTGTTCAGCTCACCCAAAACTAGATGAGCTGTCACACCATTACAACTGCCAGGGCCTGGCCTCCCGTCACTCGGACCTCCCTGCTGGGGTTGCACAGGAATGAGGGCCACACTGAGGAGTGTGGCCTATAAACTCGTGGACCGTCGGGCCCACTCCTGGGCTAGGGACGCCTGCAGACTGCTATTCCCAGCTGCATTCCGCGTTAGAGCCCCAGTCGGGCCGTGAAACGTGATCCTGATAGCTCCTTCTCCCTTTCCTCTCTTCTAGGCTTTTTAGTGCAATTTTAGAACAAGCAACCAAAGCAGACGGGGCCAATGCTCTAGGAGGGAAGGGGGCTGGATTTGATGTGAAGGCGCTGAGGGCTTTCCGCGTGCTGCGCCCCTTGAGGCTGGTATCTGGAGTGCCAAGTAAGTAAAGCCATTATTCTTGTTTACAGCCTTATCTTGTCACCACCTTCCGCTTCCTTCGCTGAATTACAAAGGAACCTGATTCTGTATAAATGGAGGTCTTTTTTAAAAATGAGTTCCTTCATTTAAAGAACCCATCTCTGATGTAAGTTCCTTAAAATGCACTGTGGTCCCAGCCCCGTAAATCCCTAGAGAAAGGGCCCAGCAGTGACACAGCCAAATAAAGACAGCTGCACAAAGGAGACACCCCCATGGCCCTCTGAGCGCCCTGCAAGGCCCTGGCTAGGGATTTGCGTGTTTGCAGAGAAGAGCCGGGTGAGCAAAGTGGGCTAATCCTTTAGCTCCAGGGTCTTTCAGCCAATGAGATTATCGCTACTTTCTGTATTTTTCCAAAGAACAATCAGAAAAGCATCAATAGATATTCTAAAAGTTCTATTTTGCCATTTCTCCTGACCCTTGCCTCCTTTCACGTCGAACAGGGCATCCCAGGCCCTATTTAGGGCCACGATACCTGTTGTGAGAACTGGTTTCTCCCAAGGAGAGGGTGCTCGGTTCTCTGAATCAGGCGAAGGCCTTTGAAGAGGTGTTATCTATCCAGACAGCACTCACGTAGGCCACCCCCTTCTGCCTCTGTGTGGAAGCCAGGCCCATTACGGATATGCCCAGGCACCGCACACAGTGGCTTCAGCACCTTGCGTCTGCTCCAGCAAACCCCAGCCCAGGGTGCTCCTGGGGCTGAGTCAGCTTTGGGGGACTACTCCTGCTCTTCTGTGTTCCACGTGTGGTGTCTGAGAACAATTCTGGACTTGTATGCAGAGATTTTACACTTGCAGTTTAGCTCCATCTGATTGCTGGAATAGCTCAGACTCAAGACATAGGAGACTCCTGAGATGGGCTGGACCCAGACGAGCTTGGAGCGTGGGGAGGGTGGGGAGGGTGGGGAGCCCAGCCCTCTTAGCACATAGCCTCTCTCCTACCCATACGTGCACTGAGCACTGAGCTACACGTGCTGCTGGTGGTATCTCTTAGAGCCATAGAATCGTGGAAATGTGAAGAACCTTGTATTAACCTCTTCATTCCTTTTGTACATGCTGAGAATAGTGAAAAGCTCTTCCTGTGATTTGAATTAACTGTTAATAGCACCAGAGTCAGGACTGGCACTGGGTCCCCTGAATTTCAGACCAACTCTTTCCTACCACACGGTACCACCTCTTTTAAAGAATTGAGTATATGCCTCTGAATTATCTTAGATTTTTACACACATACCCTGTCTCTTCAGCTACATTATAAGCCCCTGGAAGCCCAGAACTGTGCCCTATATTGCCTCTGATACCTGCTCAACCCCTCAGTCAGTCTCTGAATAAGGTGGGGGATTTCCTGAGTAAATGAACCCAGGGTTTTGGCTACTTTGGTTCAGTCGACTCCCTGAGCAAAAGTAACACAGAGCTAAGTGACACAAGTACAGTTAAAGCAGACTTTCTCTGCTTGCACATGGGGTACTTAGAAATAATCTCTATGATAGCCAAGACTGAAGTCCCCCTTTTGAAGCCTAAATTATTTAGGTTTTTTTGGTCAATCAGCCATAACTCAGTAGACCAAAACCAGGAAGTGGGAAGGAGGGTGAGGGTTACTTTGAACGTGACTTTAAGGATCTTAGAATGGAACAGCCAATGTGCCAGTGATAGGAGTTAATTCCAGATTTGAGCAAACCAAGGCACAGTGGACATGATGGATCTTACCTGTTACAGGTGTGCTTATCAGGAGCCTGCAATCTTTATTAGGTGTCTTGGGGCATATCATAAAGAGTCCTGTACTTGAGGAGGTCGACCGTCTCATGAAGGAGTATATCAGCCAGCTTTACTGCAGAACGAATAGTCCCAAACTCTCAGTGACTAACGACCAGAAGCATTTCTGCCTGGCTCATGGTACATGCGGATGTTGGTCAGCAGGGCTCTGGGCTCAGCCAGGTTCTGCGTGTCATCTAATTCCAGAGCTGAGCCTAGGTGAAAGGAGCAGCCCCGTGTGGGCCATGCTGTTCTCATGGCAGAGGGCAGGTGCTCACGGGTGCGTAGAGCCAAAGCACACAAGCAGTTTCAGCTTTTGCTTACATGGCGCTGTATCACAGCCGCTCACATTCCACTGGCCAAAGCAAGTCACGTGGCTACCAGAGATAATGGGACAAAGAAGTACATTGTACCTACAGAGAGCATGGGTGAATAATTGTGAAGAAACGGTGCAGTCTGCCACAAAGAGACTGAGGAGGTTGTTATCAACAGAAATAGCTACAGTAATTGCTCTAGCACAGAGATTCTTAATTAGAGACGAATGTGGTTGAGAGGCACTCACGCCCCAGCGCATTAAAAGGGAGAATTGGATTAGACGGGGTAGCTCGGGTTCCGCCGCAGAAGACACTTCCTAAGGAAGGCGCCCTGTCTCCATGCGGACTGGGGTGCCGGTCAGACGGTGGTGGCTGGCAAGCGGTAACGCCCCCTAGAATTCTCTCATCAGGAAGACGGAGACGTGACAGCATGTCACGTCTGGGACCTCGTGTACCTGCCATGCAGCTCAGGAAGATGTTTTTGTCGTTAGAGATGGTGGCACTGAGATGGGTGTGCGTTGTGGGCAGCCTCGCAGATAGCTCTGTGCTTTTACACAGGACCAGCCACTGTGTCTCGGTTTCGGTGGGTCCCCAGTACAAAGAGGGTAGCTCTTCCTGTAGCTTAAAGAAAGGACCAGTCCAGCGCCCCTTTCTCTCTGCACCCGTGTCCATGCAGCTTTGAAATAGCAGAGAGTGTAGATGTAGGCACACTGTGCTGGTTTCATTGATGTCATCTGCAAAAATGTCAGTGATGTCCCTGTGATGACAAACCTGAATGAATGCCTCCTTCACTCAAAGGCTTGGGTTGTCTCCTCTTGTATTTTAGCAGCACTCCTCAAAAGATCTGCCTCTCCCATCGTCTTCAGTCCTTGCCTTCCCATCCTCTCTTGAACCCTTTGCGGGCTCCTCACCCATGACTGCACCAGAGCGTCTCTGCCAAGGCCTCGGTGGTCGCCACGTTACTGGGTCCAGCGGTCAGTTCCTCAGTGCCATTTTACTGATATGTCTGTGGTGCTGGATACAGCTGACCGTCCCTTGTCCCTTGTCTTTGAGCCACTGTTGTCCCTTGGCTGCTGTCTGGGACACTGTTCTTTCTTAGCTATGCCCTTACTTCACTTGTTTTTCCTTCCTAGATCCTTTGATGACTTTCCTCTCACCTTCCCACCCTGTTAGCATCCGGGAGCTCCAGGCCAGTCCCTGGGCCTCTGTACTCCTGCCCAGCCTCAGGGCATTGAACACCATCTGCTTATCTTCTAATGAGCACCAACTATAGATCAGCAGCCCAGACCCTTCCCCTGAACACCAGGCTTGTATACCTAACTGACCACTCTGTTCCTTTCCTATCTGGATAGCTAATAAGTATCTGCAACTTGGCATATCCATAGCAGAATTCCCAGTCTCCCCAAAGCCCTTCCCATCTCAGTATAAATATCAGCCTCATCCTGCCAGCTTCTCAGGCCAAAAATCTTGGACTTATTTCTTTGTATCACTCTTCCCATACCATCCATCAGAAAGTCCCATCAGCTTGACCGTGGACCTTACCAAGGGCTGGCTGTTCCTTACCATCCACACACTCACCTGGAGATCACGGAAGCCTCCGCCCTCGCCGCAGCCAGCCTGGCACCGCCACCAAGTAGTCCTCTTAAATCCAAGTCAGATCAGGTCACTTCCCTGCTCAGCGGCGTCCACAGCTTCTGTAGTTCACCCAGTGTGAGAGCCACAATCCCGCCAGCCACACGATCCCACCTGCCCTTCTCCAGCCTTGCTCCCTCCTCTGCCCTCCTCCCTCCCTCCCCTGGGTCCCCCTCCTCCCCTGCCCTCCGCAGTGCAGTGACCCCCTGCTCTTCCTTCAGCATGCCAGGCTCACGCCACTGCAGGCGTGGCACACATGCCCCATCTGGAACACCCCCTGCCGTTCTCCGCGCTCTCCGCCGGTGCCTGCCCGCCCTGCAGCCTGCGCAGAGCTGCCATCCCCGTGGCCACACCACCCACCCCTGCTCTCCCCACGCCCGCCCAGGCTCTGTCTCCCACCATCGTTCTGGGTGTTTACGGGCTCACTGGCCTGTTCCCTGGCCTCTCAAGCATGTAGCCTCCACGAGGGCAGCAGGTTCGTCACTTGTGTTCAGGGCTGTGTCCCCAGTGTCCACAACGATGGCAGATAAATGCCTGTGGCATGAATGGGCATCGTTGCACAGACCCTTGTGCACATGGCGGGCTGAGCACTAAGCAGCTCGTGACACAATGCTGGTGCCAAAGACTATCACGTAGGCATGCCGTCCACAGCCTCCCAGAGGCCTTCCCTTCATCTGTCTTCCTTGCTTTTCGTGACAATTGGTGATATGTAGATATGTAGAGTATCTTTGGTAACAAATAGGTTAATTGGGTGGTTTTTGAGATCTGCAACTCTAAACCAATTGTGTTAGAGGCCCAAAAAGTTATTATTTTTTAAATGCCCATATATGTACTAAATGCCATTGAAATCTTATGATTGCAGATTATGGAAAGAGAGAGATGATTGTGAGGGTACAAGTCCATGAGTCATTTATCAGTTTGTTCAACAAAATCTACTGAGTACTTACTTTATGTAAGATTTTGCTAGCCTAATATTATAGCAGATACAGAAGTGAGTCAGGTGCTAAGTGTGTTCACAAAGAGCTTGAAGTGTAGTAGAAGGAAAAAGATGTTCATAAAAATGATTGTATAGAATAAAAAATTGGAGATGCTAAAAAAAATGTTTAGGTAATAAGATATGATGAGTTCTGTGACAAGTGTGCTTTGGAGATGCCATACTATGGGGGGTGGGACAGAGAATCAGGAAAGCCTTCTTGGAGGAGGTGGCATTTGGGATAGAACTTGAAGGATGAGCAAGAGGAGGCGTTCCAGGAAATTATGGGAAGGAATG